AGGAATCCCAAACTAGCTAATTACTTTTGGGCTTGACAGACTGAGAAAACAGCACCAAAGAACTCCCTGACTGCAGAGATCTGATTTCCACCCGGGAAGGCTGCGCTGAGGTACATAACCCCGGGCTGGCTGCAGAGCCCAGCACCGCCTGCAGTGTTTGGCTGCCCAAGGCCCTGAGCTCATTTCCTCTCCCTGCCTGAGCTTGCAGGAGATGGCCCAGGGCTGCAGTGGGAAAGCTCAGCTCTGGCTGGAGCAGTCTGTTGTGTTCCAGCATCTCTTCCCTCAAAGCAATTTTTCTCCTCTTCAGTATTCATTCCTAGGAGACCAAGGTGTGTCCTAATTATATATGAAAAGTACCTGCCATCTCCAAATCGCCTACTTGACAGAAAGGGCCGTATCAAGAAAAAACAGACCGTGCAAGAAAAATTCTCTTCTCCAGGCTCCAAAAATGCTTGATCCTGTTGCTTCGCTACATGAGGAGCTGTGCTGCCTCTGCCCCTGCCACCTCGGGGTCTGAATGAAAGCAGAGCTCCATGCACCACACAGCCCAGCAAGACACATGCACCCAGCAGGTGTTCTGGTGCCAGCAGCAGCAGCAGCCCCAGCCAGCTGCCCCTCAGCTCCTTTCCACTGCTCCCAGCAGCTCTGGGACCTCAATGCACCAGGCCCCCGGTCTGTGCCAGAGGTGGGCAGACACCAGAGAGCAGCAAGGTCTGATTCACAGCATCCAGGTGCAGCAGTGCAGGGGGTGCCCCTTCCCAGCACAGGCACCATGCAGCGCAGCCACACAAGCTCAGGCTCTGCCTTGTATTCACCCGGGCTCTGGGAACAGCACATTCCCACAAGCACTCACTTCACCAGAATTTCCACAGCAAGTTCACTCTGCATGTGACAGCTGTTGCAACTCCTTGATCTGCTTTCTTCTCTTACTCTCACTATTCACCGTGGTTCCTCTGTGAACACTGGGGACACCCCCCCAAGACCTGAGAGGGCTGTGGGGTCAGTAGAGCATCACCCCGGCAGGAGCTCAGCACCTGACCCAGAGGAAGCCTAAGGGCTTGTCCTGGCTAGAGGAGGGAGGCAACAAACAATTGCCATGGGTGGAAGGAGCACGGTTAGAGGCACACAGAGAGCACCAGCTCCATGTGGAAAGGCCTCCAGCTCCACAGCCCACACACTTGCTGCAGCAGCTCGAGCTCCGGGGATGCAGGGGGAGGCTTTTCCTGCAGGAGCAAAGCACACTGTGCATTCTCAAGCAGACCGTGGTCACTGCTCAGCTACAAGAGCAGGGCCCCAAGGCAGCTGCAGCGTGCAGTACCGTAAAGACACTCCAAGTCATCCTGCCCTGAGATCAGCCAGCTCCTGAAGAGGCGCAGGTGGTAGGAGCAGTGCTGGAGGTGATGGGCTAGGGTAGCATCCAGGGAGATGTTCCGGCTGGTGGCGCGGTCACAGGAAAAACGGCGCAGCAACTGGGCAACGTGGTGGTGCTCACACACATCTGGAGGAGAGGGGGCCAGAGAGTGAGAGGAGAGGGGCAGAGCAGCTGGGGACAGAAACTGGAGCTGTGGGGATGGCGCTGGCTGGGAGAGACCCTCAGCACAGGCTGCAGCCCACCCCTCCCAGGCAAGCAGAGCAGGACCACCCTGACCTACAGAGCCCGGTGCCCGGCAGGCGGGAGCAGCTGCAGCGCAGGGGCAGCCCCAGAGCCACCTCTCATCTTCATAAGCAGACGCCTGACAAGCACATAAGCCTCAGGACACATTCCAAGTCCAGCACAGTTCAGGTTGGGCTAGATAAGAAGGACAGGCCCACCACAGAGACAAGAAATCCAGACTGCCCACAGAGCGTCGAGGACCTGCATCCAAAGCAGCCACCTCAGCACACGGAACACAGCAAACGACCCGGCATCTAACAAGCAGCAGCTGAAAGGGACACTGGGTACAGCAGGGTTTGCCTGAGAGCACAGTGCCTGGAGTGTGGAAGAGCAGAGGGGGCACAGGAGTGCTGGCCTCCCCTCTACAGACTCTCAGGACAGCCCTGTGCAGTCTTCTGTAGCATCCTTGTGTAGCAGACATGACACCAGCACGCAGGCATGTCTTCTCCTCCATGAATACAGCCTTGGGACTTGTGTGGTGCTCCCAAGACTCAAAGGAGATCAGGGCCTAGAGCATCTGTGCTTGGCCACCGCTCTGGTTCACCCATCCCATTTCACCACACAGCTCTTCAGAAACAAAATCCAGACTCAAAGCTGTGAAGAGCTTGTGCATCTTCAGGTGACTGGTTCATGTGGCTAAACATCCTTCCTGCTAAAACCAGTGCCAAGCCTACACCAAATGTGTCTAACTTCAAGCTCACACCTGCTGGACCCCGTCTTTGTTTTCTTGATTAAGGGGCATTTTACTATTAGACATATTAATTGGGTTATTGGAAAAATCTGATGCCCTGTTTCATTTTATTGTATTTTGGGGCAGGGGCAGTTGCTTTATGGTGTGACCCTGGAAAGACTGGTGCTTGGTACAAGTTTTGCTGGCAAGATAGAACAACACGTCCTGCTGACATACACCACAGGAGCTCAGATGGTTTCCAGACATACAAACAGATTGAGCAGCTGGCCATTCTGGGAAAAACAAAACTAAGCAAACACAGCAAATAGGTTCCCTTCAGATATATGAAACAATAAAGCCCCGTTTAGCTGCCCCTTCTCATTTTATCTTTCCCAAGTCTTTGGTCTTTATAACAGTCTTCTGGGCTTCTGTCATCTTACAGATCACAGAGCAGAATTTCTTCACACTTACTAAGCAACAAGACAGCAGAACCAGCCTTAATCACAGAGATATGCAGCCCGACACCTTTCAGGGATCTGCTCTGGTTCTAACTTGTCTCAACAGCAAGAGCCATGAGGTAGGAGTGGTGCTGTGAAAAACAAACTTTTTCAGAAGTTTCTGTGTAAGACTCGGATAATAATCACTATTTCAAGGCATTTGCTACCACAGAGCCAAGGTCTGTGACCTGGAAAGGCCTGCAGGAGCCAGGTTAGCAGCAGTACAAGCAGAGAGAGTCAAGAGAAGCCGTTCTGTTCCATGCCTCTTCGCAGCCACCAACACGAGGAGTGCATCAGGGGACACCTCCTGGGTGACATGGTGCCATCCCCTCCTGCCTCAAGAAGGCAGCAGGTCCAAGCCAGCATTGTCCACCACAGCAGATGAGTGAGAGTTCTGGGGACACCTGCAGGAAAGGTGAGCCTACTCCCACCAACATCACCAGGCTTGGAGTAACCAATCCTAGCAGACAGGTTTGCAGATAGGAACCATGAGGTTACCAGTACTCCTAAGACACCTGTGCTGAGGAACATCACGTGCAGAGGGAATCCTGGTAGCACCTCCTTGGACTGTGCTCTTCCAGGGGACACACAGGTACCCTCAGCCTATCCTTACGGTGGTCCTGCACATCTGCAACGTAGAGCTGAGGACCCCAGCTGCTGATGCTCTTACAGAACATGACGTGGACATCCTCCTCCCCCACATCCCATGGCATTCTGCCCCCCGAACCCCACCCCCGAAAAGGGAGTGTGAAGGAAGGCCTTAAATGTTAGCAGTGCAATTAAAGGCTGCTTTAGGAGTCCATTCACAGAGCCACTGCTCTTGCTTTTTCACCTGGGACACAAATGCCTTGGGGGACAGCAGAGGAACCACTGAGCAGTAACAGGATGAATGAACCAGTTAAGTCACGAGGAGACAATGGGGGAAGGTGAAGCGTGTTTGGACACCAGATACACAGACACAAAAAAACCACGGGAAGGCTGAGAGGAAAATATGTGCAGAGAGAACTGAAGGTGAGCATGGGGTTAGAGTGTGAGGGAACGTCAAATCAAGGAAGCAAACGTACCATTAGTCGGATGCTTTGCAAACGACACAGAAAATCGTTTTACGGCTGGCATAGACAAGAGCTCTGAGGAAATAAAAACAGATCATCTCAGTTAACAGCCTGCTCCTAAGGATCCCCAGACCTTCATTTCCTTGCAACTGCCCTTCCAGGTTCACCTTCCTCTCAACCCCACAGGACATGCTCCCGCTGGCGCTGCTGCAGCTCCAGGCTCTCCCTGCCTGTGGGTCCCACTGGACCTCCACGTTCCCCAGCAGCTGTGGCTCCCCAGGTCCCTGCACTGCCTGTCCCTGCCCCTGCACTGCCTGTCACTGCCCGTCACTGCCTGCCCGACCCTGCAGAGGCCTGGGCCGTGCTCCCCGGGTCCCAGGGGTTCCTGCCCTGCAGCCTCCCCAGGCAGCCACGCCGCGCACGACCCAGCACACAGGAACCACAGAGCAGAGCTCTCAGGGCTCCCTCTGCCCAAGGAAAGCCACAACCATTCTGCAGAGGAACTGACAAGCCCTGGCAGAGGCAAGTGTAGCTGAAAGCATCCTCTTAATGCAAGCTAATCACAGCTATTTATAAATATAAAGCTAAATCAACTAACTAATTAGGGAACACACAGCAGACCCATGAAGACATGCTCTACAGCTCTGATGCTCAGAGCATTTCAGTACAGAAGAGGTTCTGGGACACACCTGTCAGACTGGGACACCTGGGACTGCCTCTCCTGGCTGTGTCCCAGCCCAGGCCAAGCTCTCCTGTAGAAATCACACACTGGAAAGACAGTGCAAGGACAGACTCTAGGCATCTCATGTGGTGCAAACAGATGAGCTTTAAAAGACATGGATTAGTCTCCATATGCTTAAAAAAAGAAAAAGGCTGAAAGCTTCAGTTTATTCCCACTCTGGAAATTCCTCAGTTGTCATGGGAAAGAAAAGCCTAGATCAGACCATCTGTAAGTAGGATTTGACACAACGCGCCAGCCAATCACATATTTTGCTGCTATTTAGGAACTTCTAGGAAACACTAGAAAAATGTTTTTATTTCCCTTCCATGTTTCATGCATCCTTTCTACCCAGGCAGCAGGGTCTGTACACCCCTCCCCGTACACCAAGGTCAGCAGATGCACCTAATGACTTGGCCACATGAGATATTTAAATCTACTCTCAAACTTGCTGCCATTTCCTTCAGCAGCAAAACAATCCTAAAGACAGTTTCTTTTCCCTTAACAGAGCATGACAAGCTTCCCTATGCATGCAATCCCACAGAAGTGTCCAAGTCCTGGAGCTGCAGTCGGTGAGCTGGAACCCACCTCCCCCACCTCCCCCTTGCCAGCACATCTGCTCAGCTCAGTCCTGCTGTAACACAGCTCGCTGGTCCCTGCCTTCAGACAAGCCAGCTCCAAACCACCACCAGCAGCAGATCCACCCTCAACCTGAGGCTGGGACACAACCTTCCCCTGAAGTGTTCCTTCACCCTCCTCCAGCCCCAGGATGAGAAGACTTCAGAAATAAGTGCCATTTCAGCTCCCCTTGAGCAAGTCCTGGATGAAGTGCTGTAAGCCATGCACCGCACCTTGAAGCATCACAGCCATGAGAAAAGATCAGAGTTCATGCAAAGATGTGCTCCAGCATCCGGGGGTTTTAAACACGATCAGCCTGATGACCAAGAAGGCATCGATACAGACACCAGCCTGCTGCAGGGGCTGGGTCACTGCCTGCAGCCCTAGTGATGGCTGGTTCAAATGACACTGCTCAGCATTTCACTGGTGCTCATTTAAGCAGGAACATGCAAATCAAGGGCTTATTTTACATTCCAAACTCCCTTCCCCAGAAGATAAACACCTTCCTCCTCACGTTCCCAAGCCCCTCACCGCTTCCTGACGCACAGCACGCCAGGAAACACGGAAAACAAGGGCAACTCCAAGATGAACAACTCCGGGTTGTTCGTCACACACCCGTTAAGTCAGTGTGTACCAGGCATTGCCCCTCGGCCGGCAGGGACGGACAGCAGGGCTCAGGGCTCAGGCAGCAGCAGCGGCAGCTCCAAGATGAACAACTCCGGGTTGTTCGTCACACACCCGTTAAGTCAGTGTGTACCAGGCATTGCCCCTCGGCCGGCAGGGCCGGACAGCGGGGCTCAGGGCTCAGGGAGCAGCTGCGGCAGCGCCCGGGCCCCGCAGCCGGTCAGAGCCTGCGGCGCTGCCCGCAGAGCCCCGGGAGGAGCCCCCAGAGCCCCCGCCGGCCTCTCCAGGTGCTGCCCCGGCGCTGACAGCCTGTCCTGCAGCCACAGCTCAGCCCGGTGCAGCAGGGCCCGAGCTCCGCTGGGCTCCAGCCCGGCCTTCGCAGCCTGCTGTGGGAAAGGGAGCTCCCTGGAGAGCTGGGAGTGACACAAGTTCCCCTCAACACCAGAACAGCAGCAGAGCCCGTGCTCTCATTCAGCAGCGCTCATCAGGTTCCAGCAGGGCTGAGGACTGGAGGGCATCTTCCCTCCTGGGTTTCCTGGGCCTCAAAACTGGACAAAAATCCAAACAAACTAACCTCCCGTTTTCCCAAAAGGCCCCAAATTGCTGCCTTAGTCATGCCCCCACCTTGCAATCCACCAGTGCTGGGCTCATTATGATTTAATATCCAGACCAATAACTCCTCCTCCACGACAGCAAGTAGTGTTAAAATGTCAGCACAAAACCAGGCCCCAGACCAGACCGCACGTCAGCACCAAACCCCTTGCACAACATCAGCTCCTGCCTCGTCCCTGCAAGGACCACGACTTCCTGGGATGTCATGAAATGCACGACTGCAGATGTGATGAACATGCACATGTAACTGTCATCCTGCTCAGCAGTCTTGAGTCTGTCTCAGCACACCCTGAGACACCAGCTGCCACCTGCTGCACAGGGAACACACATACCGTCTTTGTGCGTCAGGCTGCTGGCAAACTTTTTGCCATGGCTGCGAGCGTAGTCCTGGAGGTTGGGGGCACTGGAGGAGCCTCCCAGCACAGTGGTGCTAAACAGGCCGGTGCATTGTGACCCTGGAAAGGCATGGAAGGTGTTAGTATCACATCACTGCAAGCAGCGCAGAAAAGCAGGGTTAGTCAGAGGGTGAGGAATGAGCTGGCCACGCCGCAGCAACCAGGGAGCACGGGGAGGCACAACTGCCCATCCTAAATGCAGTGGTGCCAAATGCACAGCAGGAAGCCCAAAACTCAACACCAGGAAAGCTCCTAACTCCATCCAGGGGGTTACTTCCACTTGGATCTCTTGCCCTGACCTAGGATAAGCACTTGGACACCCCTCAGTCAGCAAATCTCCATACTTATGTCAGGAAAGCCAGGATGCCAAATCACTGATGTTCAGGGCACAGGGCTTCATTTCTCTGCTCTTCTGCCCTTTGTCTTTGGAAAGCTCTTTTTTCTGCAGGACACCAAGAAGAAGAAAGGACTGCCTGGTCAATGCATGGGGATTCATCACTCTGCCAAGGGGTAAGAAAAGCAATGTGACAAGAGAGCTCTTTCTTAAGCTACTGCTCAGATGGTATTTCACACCCACTGGGTCAGAGCAGGTCCAGCCATTCCATGAACCACCCCTCAAAGCACCAGATGCCCACATAGCAGGAAGGGTGAGGAACATGGCAGGGACGCGGCCCCATGCACAGGGGACAACCCAGTGCTGTGGCTTTGGCAGCTGCTGGTGTTTGCTGCTCCAAGGCACAGTTCTGCTGAGTGCTCTGACTTCGTGTGGTATTTAGGGAACACGGGGCACTTGAAACAAGATTCTTTCGACTGAGGAAAGCAATTGTGAGTGAGGCAAAACCTTATTATGGTCTAGACAAAGCGGCACTGACTGGCTATGAATTCTGTGCTAAAGCATCTTGATGCAGCATTCTGTCCTGAGAATACCAACTGCTAAACCCCACATCACTCCCACGCACAAAAGGCTTCCAGAAACCAGCAGGTTGATCTTGTCCTACCTTATCTGCCAAGGCAAAAAAAGTGAGATACTGCCCATTAATTTTTAACTGGAGCAGTGCAACTGTTACTACTGTTAACAAGATCCTGCCTGTATTGCAGGCAGCTCTGGATTCTAAAAGGCAGCACCAGCACCATAGCATGATTTTGGTTGGAAGGAACCTCTGGAGGCTTCTTTCCCAACACACCAGCAGGGCCAGCTCAGATCAGCTTGTTCAGGTTTGTCCAGTCAAGGGTTGAGTACGTTCAAGAAAGGAGATTTCATCACCTCTCAGCCCCCCACTTCAACATCTGGCAGAGTTAAGGTGAAAAACATGATCCCCCTCCTGACCTGGAGCTTCCCTTGCTGCAGCTCCTGCCGGTGGGTTCCTGTCCTGCCACTGCTCTGCTGTCAGACAGTCTGTCTCCACCTCTCTGTACCCTCCCACTCCCTCAGCTTCTCCTCCCAGGGGCTGTGCTCCAGCCCCCCCAGCTCGGCTGCCCCTGCAGTGCTCACACCCACCAGATCCAGCCCGGGGGGCTCAGGACCCCTCAGACCCACAGGGTGTGTGCGGGGAGGGCTGTGCCCTGCTCAGCCAGCACAGCCTGCCCTGGACCCTGGGGCAAGGACACTCTGCTCCTCTGCAAGGCTCCTCTGCAGCTAAAACTGCTCTGCAGAACAGACAGACCCTGGGTTTTAAGCTATTCACAGGTAAGTTCAGTCTGCGGTGATGAAGGTCCTGGGAGCAGAGGGGATGACAAAAAGAGTTCTCACATGCACTGATCCTAAGCTGCTCCCCACGGTGACACTGCTGGTAGCTTTCCAGAGGACATGGCACGGATGTGTCCTTGGGCAAACAGGCAAGGACTCCTGCCTGCAGAGCAATGGACACACGGGCCTCAGCAAATTTCCTCCCTTTTTTTTGCCTTAAACCAAAGCTCAATGCTGACTTGGCATGAACTGGAATCTGCCAGAATTACAAGAAAATGTTGTCAAGCAGCAGCCAGGATGATGCTTTTAATTGTCCTTCCATGGCTTAAAAACCAAACAAACAAACCCCAGAAAACTCATTTATGGGCAGATAAAAATGGAGCAGAAGATATTTATTACTTTCTATCTTGAGCAACCTCATGGCACTATCCCTTACTCCCAGTGTTTCTGCTATCCTACAGGAGACACAGGCATTTTGTTGGCACCCTTGAGACAAGAGAATTTACAAAGGTGACTCTGTGGACAACAGCAAGTGTCTACAGTGAACTCTAGGAGACCACTGCACCAAACACACACACATCCTACAGAACACCATGGTACACTAGCCATTTGGATTTAAGATGTACCAACGTTTGCTAGAAATTGCTGTATGTGCTGGATCTTTTTTGTGTATTTAATTTTCAGATGTACATTCAGTGTTTGGTATATTTAAAAACTGGACATCCCTTGCTCCTATGGGAGTCTCAGCACAAAGCTTCATGCCACCAGCAGTGCACCACCTGTACTGCTCAAACAGCAGGAGTGATTTTACCCCCTTTTGAAGTGTTCTTGCAAGCCAAGAAGGGCCCTGAGGTTTCTCCAGGCTTCTCAGGCTAGAAGCACTAACCCTGGAGCAGAAATCCACAACAATGCACTTGCTCCTGCCCAGAAGGAAGGGGCACAATCCAAAGCACCACTTGCATGGATAAGGCAAGCTGCAGCCTGCCCCTTCTCCAAACACATATTTCAAGACATTTTAAAATTACAGTAAAGACACATTTCAGGCAGGTATGGCAGCAGGGTTCCTCCAGGAGCCCCCATCCCTGCAGGGCTAAACATCTGAGGTGACAGCTGAGCAGACACTCCCCCAGAGACAACGACTGTAAGCAGGTCAGGCAGTGGGACCTATGCTCAACTTCAGAACAGCTCAGAAAGAGCAGGCAGCACCTGAATGAAGCCCCTCATAGCACAGCTGCTGAGACAAGTGCTACATCTGAAGTTCAAGCTCCCGTGAGTTCTGTGCCACCTCTCAGAGAGCACACATTGCAGACCCTGAAGGGGGGAGGAAGGAGATTTCTACACAACAAGCAGGAATTGGGAAGATTGCCTTAAGAGCTTGACTTTTACAGGCAAAGAGGCATCATTCCTCTTAGCAGTTCTCAAGTTAAGAGAAATTCACAGAAACAGACATCCTAGTAACCAGGGATTGTGCAAGCTGGTAATGCACCACAGGCCTCTCCTGCTCAGCTCTTCTGTGCCTGCAGCTGCAAGACTCTCCAGAGAAGAATGGTGGCTGGACTGAAGATCCAGGTAGAGGTCCAGTGTCACAGATCAGATCTATCAGTTCCCACTCCAAGTTTTGTCTCTGCAGATCTTCAGTCAGGAGAGTGACCAGCACAGGCTGCCCAGCAAGGTGAGTCGAGCAAGAGCCTGAAATCAAACCTGCTGCAATCACGTGCCAAATTCCATTGCCAAGGAAAGGCAGCACTGCACAGAGTCCAGCAGAGCAGTAGCCTTCAAACAGACATTCCTCAGAAACCTAGGGAAGGCTGGAGTAAATCAGCTGCAATATCTGCTCTCCAGAGCACACGCCTTCTGGGCCTGAGACATCCAACAGTACAGACAGTTTGTGTGAAGCCTCGATGCACTCAGTACTTCTCCAAACAGATGCACTTCCTTGTCTGTGCCAGCTCAGGAATTCTCATATTGCTCCATGGGATTCACAGAATAACCACAGGTTTCTTCAGGCCTCAGCAGGGCAATCCCTGCAGGTGGGCTGTGAAAGGCAGAAGGAAGTAGATGCACCACAAGAAACAGCACATTGAAAAACCACTGTGGCTGAAGCTATTGTGCCTGTATGAAAATAAGATGCATCAGTCATTCCTTCTCAGGCTTTTCCACTGGCTGGGAGCACAGCTGGCAGACTCCAGTGATGCTTCCTGACCACTCTGAAGAAAATTCCCTTTACTTGGTAGGAATTAGCTTCCAATGCAGCAGCTCATTCAAAAGTGACAAAGAAGTGATCAGATCCTTCAGAAGTCTCTTGGCTACAGGATGTCCACACAACAGAGTAGAGAACTGATGAGTCAGAACTGCTGCCTACAGTCTGTCTACAGCTGTGCCGTGATGCAAAACAGGTTGTAAAGAAAAAGAAAGTGGGCATAACTTGGGCACTTCCACCTCCTGGTGTTAATTAGTCATCTGCATGATGTAGGTTTCACAGCTATCTTTGAACCTCCTGACAACAAAGACAGCTTTTCAGTTTCCAAATAGAACTTGCTTTAGCAAAAATATTTCAGGAAGACTTTCAACTATTAATACATAGTTTAGGTTGGTATGACAGGGAATGGTTCTCTCAAGGACAGGCCGAGAGCACCAAGCACCCCAGAATACTCTCTTCTGCAGGCTACCATGCAAAGAATAGCTAACCAAGGGTGCCAGCTCATTAGAGCTGCCAAACACTGCTGCAGATGAAAGATCCACTCCAGACAAGAGATCCTCATGAAGCAAAGGTGGAAATAAAATAGTCATTCACGAAGAGCAGCTTTGCATGTAAACTACTGTTCTGCAGGACAGAAAGCAGACTAGTTCTCGTGTAAAATCATCTCTTCCTACAAGTTCAGAAATGGTATAATGAATGATAGCAACATGGAACCAGAAGGCCAACATGCAAGTGTGCAGCTTGCTCTGTTGCTCCCATACTAGGCACAAAAAGTGCATCTTCTGTTGCTAGAAGTTGAAGGAGAAGATTGTACACAAAAGGAAATACAGCAAGATAGTCTCTGCAGTGGTCTAAGCAGTGACACTAAAAGAAGACATCGACACACACAGAGACACATACAAGGAACTTAAGCCAGATGTGTATGTGGAGAGACAGACAGATGCCCACAGAAATGCAGAGGTGCAGGTAAGCAGGCTGGTTGCAGGTCAGTACAGTACCTAAGCCACTCTGCTTCATCTCAGAAGACTGCCTGGAATAAGTGCTGAAGAGGCGATAACCTCCTGATTTGGAAGAAGATTCAGAGAGCACCTGCAAAGACAGACAGAATAATCAGTGCCCTGCTCTGAGGTACACACTGGTCTCAAAAGCCTTTATACATCAGTTAAAGGTAAAGACAAGTATGTCTGCTCCTTTTAAGAAGCATAAAGGGACTCATATACTAATACTGTAACAGTGCATGCTCAATTTTAATTTCAAGTTTGTGTTGGGTTGTGGAACAGTGGAGACTGCAAGAGCATGAAAGGACTCGTGCTGAGATCCTTGTCTCTCAAGGCTCTCACTGGGATCCCTGGGACACAGACTTCCCTCTTCAGCAGCAGAAGTGCATCCCCTTTATCTTACTATGTTACAAAGAGCCCCATGTGCCACATGCAAAGACTGCATCATGAGTGACACAGAGACGGAAACCAGCTAACAAAGACCTCGAGCCCCAACCCTCTGCTTTCACTGGTTCAGAAAACAGAGAGCAAAAATGCCCATGAAACCCCTCCAGATGGAGGGGCAGTTGCTAGAGGTGCCAGCTACATGCTGGCTGTGAAGCCTTGTGACACATAACAGCCCTGAAGGAGAGAAGCAGGAACAGTAAAATCTACCTTTGTTACTTCAGCAGAGCAATGAATAGGACAGTTCTAAACCTTGACAGTTTAAACACTCTGTAATAAACCCACTGATTAGCAGGGACAAGATCTGAGATGGGAAACAGGAACAAGAGATGTGGAGCTGAACCGTGAGAGGGAGAGGCTGGGGTCTAAGGGAAGGCCAAGATGTCACCATGGCTGGGTGAGGAAGTCACATGCCATCTCATTCATAGCTGTTACACTGATGCCTCTACAGAGCTTGTAATGCTTATAATGATTGTGCTTCTCCAGCATTTCCTTACTTGCTCTTCCTTATCAGCTCCTCTGACCCGTGTTCCCCCTGGCCTTCCTTTGGGAGGTCTGCCTTCCAAAATATCCCTCTAACTTCTGCAGATGCTTTCCCAGAATCAACTGAAACTCTGGCATCTTAAAAGGAAAGCCAGGACACCAAAACCAAGCAAGAGACCTTCAGGAGAAGAATCGAGGGTGCCCAGGGCCTTGTTACCTCCATGGAGCCGGTTTTCCGGTTCCTGATGAGCGGGGATCTCCGCTGGATGCTGACGGGCTCGGCAGGCTGCGGGGACCTCGGCTGCACACGGTCGGGCTCATCCACGCCCTTCTCTTTGGACAAGTCCTCCAGGCTGCCTTGGTCTGCTTTCTTGTCCTCATTCTGCAGCGAGGAAACATTGACACCTACAGGCATGTGGCCCTGGCCAGCAGTGCCCTGGCACTGACTCCAGCCCTGGGTCTCCCAGCTCAGGACACCGCTGCTCCCACAGGCTGCCCTGGCACACCCTGGAGCTGGGCAGGGAACTGTACCTGCTGCCAGCCCATGGGCATGGGAGAAAGGTCAGAGGAAATTCTGCTGCTGGGGGCTGGAGGGCAGCAGAGCCATGAGGAGAGGCTGAGAAAACGGGGTTTGTTCAGCCTGGAGAACAGAAGGCTTCGGGGAGACCTTATCACCATGTGCCAGTACTTAAAAGGCTGGCTACCAAGATGGAGACTCCCTATTTACAAGGAGTCACACGGAAAAGACAAGGGGTCATGGGCACAAATTGCTCCTTGGGAGATTCCAATTGGATACAAGAGGTAAATTTTTCACCATGAGGACAGTCAAACATTGGAATCATCTCCTGAGGGAAGTGGTGGATTCCCCCAGGCTGGACAGTTTTCAGCCTCAGCTGGGGGAGCAGCAAGGTGCCAGCAGAGCCCAGGCTGCCCCCAGCCCCTGCAGCCCCTGCAGCCCCTGCAGCTGAGGGCAGTTCATCTGAGGGCAGCTCAGCTCACCTCTGCTGAGGCAGGACGGAAGCCAAAGCCCGTGGGCACGTTCCGGTCCTCCTCGCAGCCCTTCACACCAGGGCTGAAATGCAGCTCCACGTGGAAACGCTCTTCTGAAGATGGGTCCTGTGAACATCAGGGCAGGGAATAAGTAAATACATGAAAAACAGTCTCACTCTCAGCACAGCCAGGGTCTGGACCTGGGCCTCCCAGCCATGCGGGTGCAGGAAGCATCCCAAGCACATCCTTCTGGAAGGAAAGCACAAGCTACGAGGAACCATGAACATGATGGCTCTAGGTTTGTTCCATCCAAAAGGACAGCCTTTATTAGCACAAAGCTGGGACATTCAAATTGTTATTTTGTGACAACAGCCACCAGAAGACCAAAACACAATGGGGCCAGATGTATGTACGTGCACAGACCTAAACACAGCCCTTCCCGACCCACTCCCACGTGCTGGGGCAGGGAGAGGCTGGTTCCCTCCTGGACCTTTAGTTGGGTTGTTCCAAGATTTAAGGTACTGTCTCCAGCATTATTTTTTAGTATTTTTTTTAAAGGAGGACAGAGCTTTTACCATATCTGGCCCTAATGATGTATATGCAAAATTTCACCATCCCTACTAACAGATTTACCACTCCCAAGAGCTCTATTCAGATTATTTTGACAAACTAGGAAATATTTCACTTCTACCACTATAACCCCATATCAGCTCTGTAAATATAAGTGTCCTGCTCAATAGTGCATGGAGGAAAGGACTACAACCCCCTGCAGCACAGGACCAGAGTGACAGGACCTGGGGTTCAGCACATGCAACTTGGTGCCAAACCTACTGATGGGCATCACCATCAGCTCCCACAGCCCAAATGGTTTTTAAATGGCTCTCTTTGGTTCCTGAAGATATCAGTACATAATTCCCTAACTACCTCAGTATATTTTTTAAATAATAAAAGTTTATGAATGTGGAATTTGTGGATATTTTCTAGAAATATTTGGAAAAAGCTGCATAATACAATTTGGGTGTGGTTTTTTTTCCTACAGTTAATTTGTAATTAATATTAAGAAACAGCAAATTATTTTGCACTAGGAAATGCTTTAAAATAGGTAGTATTAATTACTTCAGTTTGGTATTACTGCTCAGGGTGGCATTCTGCTGACATGTAACAAGCATTAACTGGGTCACTGCCTCCCACCTAAAAATAAAAACTAGCAGTTGTGCTCCTGGTCTGTGCCTCGGCTCCCAAGCAGAGAGCTCAGGTTACAGACTTCCTGGCTGAACTCATCTCTTGGGAGTGCCCTGCACCGTGGCAGGAAGGGTTTATCCTACAGCTCTATCCCTCACCTTGTTGTTGTCCTCGTAGAGCATGATAACAATCTGGGTCATGTAGTTCAGCTCTGAGATAGCACTCAGATAGTCCATGGCTCTCTTCCATTGCTGATCTTTGTTCTCCTGGTGCATACAAGACACAAACAGTCCATGGGATAAGCAACAGCAGACACCCATCCAGTGAAACGTGTCTGAGAGTTTGTCTCTCCACAAGATAACAACATTGTCAGGACAAAAACCACCCTGCTGAACTTGCGTGGAGACACGACCTTGTGAGGGGGCAGGTGCTGACAGTGAGGAGCAGCTGCAGGGGGAGGCGCAGCCTCCAGACCCCAGCCCCCAGCCCTGCACAGCAGGCCCCAGACACTGCCATCCTCACACAGTGGCCTAGAGAATGGAGTTGTTTAGAGAAATCTCAAAAGAAGCACAGGGGAAGAGCATGTTCCTTGCACAAGCAAGGCAGCAGCACCAGGACGGAGGAGCAGCCCCCACGTCAGGGAAACTGCAGAGCAAACACAGCAGGGATGGGGCTGGCCAGAGGCTGCTGCTGCCTCTCCCTGCTGGGGCAACCTGCCAACACACACTGCCCACCGTGGAAGGGGCCACTGAACAGCAGCAGGGCAGCTCACTGTGAGCACTGTGGGGACACTTACATCCAGGAGGCCCCCGTAGCGGAAGATGCTGAGCAGGGAGTGCACGTGGCTCTCGCTGGTGAAGTAGAGCCGCGTCCGAACGTGGCGGCCTGGAGACAGAACTCCTCTGGAGTACCTAAACCAAAACCAGGCCAGTGTTACCTTGAGCCAGACCGAGGATGGCCCCCTACCACACAGCAGCATTTCTGCATGCTCAGCAGAACACGGTGACCCCCACGAGAACTACCAGAGAGCAGCAGGAACAGAACAAACAGCGAGAGCACTGGGCAGAGAAGCAGCAAGTTCTGTGTTACCCTAATGGAGACACATGGTGGGGCAGAGGTGGCATCCTCATCCCAGCCCTTGCCCCTTGCAGAGACAGGGATGAAGGGACTACCATCCAGCTACGATGGGCTTAAGCTTCTGTGGCATCGTGGTCCCACTCAGCAGTCTCAATGTGCCTTTCCACTGCCCTTCCAGTTCCAGGAGCACCAACGTGCCTCCCTCTTGGTGTGTCCTTCACTGTATGTTCCCTGTGTCCTACCACACCAGCACACTCTTCTGGCATGGTTCCCACACACTGCTCCAAAGCTGCCCTCCCCACCCACAGCAGCATGCAGCACAACCCTTACAAGGGATGTAGTTTGTTGACAGACTCGTCTTCATGGGTTCTCTGTAGGTCCAGCTGGATCTTTTTAATGAGAGGAAGACAGAAGCCAATAGCAATCTCCAGTTTCTCCTCTTTATTGATCCCATATTCCTGCAGGAACAAAACAACAAATAACCTTGAGCCCTGGATCTTTGCCACATCCTCACAAGAAAGGAGGCTGGACTTAACAGTCCTGTCCACAAGCACCACAACAGCTGAGCAAGGACAGAAAAGGAAACATCACGCAGCACCTTTTTCTTTTTTTTTTTTCCTCTCCATATATTGCAGAGGGTAACAGAGGACAGAGACTCCTCCAAGCTGTCTAGACATGACTGTCAGTGTTCTCCCAGCAGCTGAGAGACACAAATTCCACCAGGGAACCTCCTCTCATGACACACAAACTTATACCCTGACCTGGCATGAGCATTAATGCAACAACTGCTGTTTGCCTAGATAAAACCTGAAGTTTTATCCAAACTGCTTCTGCTCAGGAAGAAACACTGTGAAAAGGTTTAGATGACCACTTCTGCTCTACATGAGTGCCAGTGCAATTGGACCTTGCTGGCAGAAGCTCAAAACATTTCTGCCAGGCTGGGACAGAACAAAGATGAATCCAGGGATCCTGTGCATGTGCCTCTCCTTTCCCCTCCCGTGTTCATGGGCACAAACTTGGTGAGAAGCAAGACAGCTTTGCAGACTGAACAAGTTCTTGTTTGACAATGCCAAACCTGCCAGCACAAGCCTTCACATTAACACAGG